ACAGGATTAAAATGCGTGGTTGGTGTCAGGAACTTAATTTTATATGGTTCTACAAATCTAAGGGGTTTAGATTTTGTCAGTGTCTCTTCAATAGAAATATGCTATTGTTATAATGGTTGTTATAAAGTCTTCTGCAGAGTTGTTTCCTGGCATACTAATTGCAGGAGACTTGCAAAAAGGTCATGGTTTTATAGTTTCGTATTTAAACAAGGTCAGGCTTCCTTTAACAAGTTTTCATTGCTCAGAAGAGGGTTTATGACTGACCAAGATTTAAATGGGCATTAACAAAGAATTCTTTTACTCTCTCTCAGAATGTGTTTGTAGTCAGAATTGTAGTCTTTGTGTTTTGCAGCAGGATCTAAGTCTTCTTACCTGAACACTCTTTTAGTCATACACTGTCGCAGATCACTGCTGCATGAAAGGGAGTTAGTAATTCTCTGTACTGCCTGCTGCATAAGAGAAGAAGTCAGTTGTACCTGCCTTGTTTGCAGAGCCTCGGAAAAGCAAACTTTTGGGGTGTTTTGTGGTGGAGACATATTACTGTTGGAGAATATGTAGACAATTCTTGGAACAGTATTTTAAAGATTTCTTTTATTTTCTTTTATTCTCTTCTGGGGAGAAGTAAGGAGCTCCTACCTACTTCTAAAGTTCAGTTTCTCTAGCCAAACCACCTGTTCCAGATTAGAATAGCTAGGTGCCAGGATGTAATAACAGCACTGTATTTTACCAAAGCTTTGTCTACTTGCAACTTGATGAACCAGTGTCCATACCAACTTCAGGTGGTATTAAGGGCACTGTATGAGAACGACAAAGACTCTAGAGATAGAATTCAGCTGTAAGAGGGAACTATTTCTGAATGGCCACCTCCATAAATGAGGTAACAGAACCTGCGGGAAATAGCTATGATAACTTTGACTACACACTGGGTGAAGAAATAAACCCAAGTTATTGCCTTATAAAGCAAATATGTCTAACTGACAAATAATAGATCTGCCTCAGTAGGCAGAAAGCTACTCAGTTCATCACCATCTTCTTAGAAGCAATTTGGTAATATCCTTAAGAAATCATTCCACTAACTATAAAAACATTTCATGTACTAGTACTGACTGCAGAAGACGGTCATAAGCATTCTGACTTTTTTATATAGTGAGAGCCCATAGTTTTCAACTTTTCAGAGCTGTCAGCCCCAAGGGAACTCTGAATAGTTGCAGCTATCCTTTCTTAGGTAGTCTTATGGGAATACAAGAAAGACAAGGTTATGTGCATGGCCCAGAATGTCACTGCTTATTTGCACACTGAGAATATATGTGCAATTACAGTAGGATCCACAGTTACCAGAGTCTTCTCACACAACCATGTTTGGTGTGGATTTTGTCTCTGTTACTGTGGAGAAGAGTCTTCTACTTGTATCACTGGAATTACAACCTTTCCTGTGCAATCGTATGTGTATATCTTTTATAGTTACTTAAGGTGCAGGGTGAGATTCATCTCACCTAAGTGGTTGGGACTACTTGAAAGTTCTGTGGCAATAAGCAGCATTTTTTAACAAAGTTTACTTTAGGGAATCTTAAAAAGCAAACAAACAAAGCCAGTCAAGTTAGTCAACTTCCTTTTTTTCCCCTGGCTTCCTAATATTTATGCATCATTATAATTTTTATATTTATAGATTCTGTCTGTAACTGCTACAGACCATGAGAAATCTGAGCTTTTTTATGACTGTATAATAACTCACTTAAGTCTTTCCTTTATCATCTATTCTGAGGCTAAAATGGGTGCATTTGCAATGATGAAAAGAGATTAAATCCTATTTCTAGAGGACACAAGCTTTAATTATAAATATTGGGTGCTTTTACACTTTCCCCAAAGGTTAGAAATTTAGCTTAAATATGATAGAATATGAATCTTTTTAGGGACAGGTGTGCTGTAAAGATTGGTTAATTTTATTTTATGTACTATCTCTTATCTGAATTTAAAACTCTTCTGAAAGGTACTCTTAGGCTTTTAACCAGATGTCTGTAACAGAGAGAGTTTAGGTGTTCACAAAAATGCCTGTAGAATTGTTCTATCACTTTTTTATGCAATAACATGCTGTCAGTATATTGCTACTATGCCATTTTCTCATGCAGGTGCCTGTTATTTGTAAATGCATGAAAGACAGCAGTAGATACAGCATAAGATTGTAGGTAAAAAAAACCCACAGAAGGTAGAACTCTGATTTTGAGGGATTAGCAAAGGCACTGTCAGAACTTCTCATCAAATTTGTTAAGGACGTTCTTGGAAGCTTTCTTTTACAGCCATCTATTCGATGTGACCAATGGACAGGAGAAAAAAGACCTAATGAACAAAGCTTAATGTTTTGGAATTCCCAGATATTCAAAAGGTTGTTGAGACACAAATGTTAAAAAAGTAGTAACTTCTATTTCTATTTGAAAGACCTCAAAGTATTCCACAAAATAAAATTCCCAAAGTAAATAATATTGTCAAATAAATACTGTGGTGGTCCAGAGCATGCAGTGTTTCACAATAATACAGCACTGCAGCCAACTTTGAACATACTTTTCATTGGTTCTGGTTTTAGCTCAAGTTTTAGGCATTATGAGCAACATTGAGCAGTATTAGAGACTCTTAAGATATCCAAGCCTCTGAAGTGAATCTCCTCTTGAGTTTTCCTTAAAGTAAACACTCCAAATACACAGAAAGGGCTTTGAACCTAGAAAGCAAAGTTTTGCTAGAAAAGAAAATAATTAATTTAAACTCTGAGCATGACAAGAAAAGAAATAAGAGAGTTGTAACAAATTTCCTTCTGCCACCTGCATCCTGGAAAGTCAACTTCGGGCTTGAAGATCTCCGAGTTCATCAACCTTTAATTGATGCACTGAAAACGTTAAAAGAAACTCAGCACAGTCCCTTTTGGGTCCCTAGGTAATGTTTTTCTTCCTTGCATTTAAGGCTTAGCTGGGATCTCTCCATGCTCTTACCAGCAGATTCCCAGTCCCTGTATTTTCTCAGGTTTCCTGCTGTGACTCCCAGTGAGGAAGCTGTGACGCAGGCAGAGCAATATGGACAGTTCCTTTCAGCTAAGCATGCTTATTCGTTATCAAGGGCATGGCAGTTTTTTCTCTTCTTCAGTGCACCTGACCCCATGCACAGCATTAGTTTTATTTGCTGACCAGCCACCACTTTTTTAAAGGAACATAACTTAAATTAATACATCAGTTGGAAGTAAGTAGTCAGACACATTTAATGGAAGGGGACTAAGAAGTCTTATTGCTCCTGAGCCATGAGTTGTGAGTGAGGGGAATACTGTCATTCTTAACCTTGGTGTACAAGGAGCTGTGAGGAGAATCCTAGGTTGAGACTTGTACTAAATGCGATGCAAGAGTTTCTAGACTTGTAACTTACTCGTCCTTCTAAGCCATGAGGTCACAAGTCTTGTATAATAGTTTTTGTGTATTTTGTTTTGTTTATTCCTGGTTTTCAAGGTTTTCAGAGAAATAAGTGAATTTAACTTGTTTCCTTGTGTTGTTAGGAGGGGCTTGGGTTTTTTGTTTTTATTACATTCTGAAAATGCAATAGATTACAAAAGGGCTTGAGTTAAAGAAGGCTGGTAAGAATTGTTCATACAGCGGAGGATGGAATTTCAAGAAATACAGCAATTTTTTAGATATTATCTATCTTGACAAAAGGACACTGGCAAATGAATAAGTAAACAGAATAAACATATTCAGGAGAAATTAGTGAATTACAGAATGTGTAGAATACTGTATCCAGAATTAAGAATTTATTTATGAAAAAGCGTTCAGCAGTTCACTGTCAGACACCAGCATTTTTGCAGACTAACACTGGATATGCCACCATCTTTCCAGATGCTTATACCACTGTGGAAAAACTGAAGACATGGGCTGTGATAAGCCAAAGTTAGCATTCCTAGTAATGCACACAAGTGGCAGCCACCACTGATATCTGATTTTTAAAACAAGTTGTTCCACAGGGAACCAATATGGACTGGTTTACTATGGATTTGTGTTGTGTTTCTGTATCCTCCCCTTCTGTGAGTTCAACTCTCCTCATGGACTTCCACCTTCCGTAATGCCTCCTGTTTCTCCTTTTTGTCCCCATATGCCTCACTTTTCACCCTTACACTATATAAAAATCATCCCCATGTTCCTGTGACCCAAAACAATCCACTGGTCAAAAGGCAGCAAGTGCTATAACTGGGTCTGAGATAACCAGGCAAGCAGAACAAACAGAACAAAAACCGGAGCTCATGTTACAGCTTTTTTTTCTCCTCCAGCGGACACAGCAGTCAGGTCTTTCGCTCTCTTCCCTCCTCTATCCAGATGCTGATTTTAAAAGAATTTGTGAAAGCGTTGCTTCTTTCAAATTTTTACTGATTTGGAATATGTATTTGAAATTGGTCAGCAGTTCAAAAAGTGAAAAAAGAGAAAGTTGGGGTGAGAATGGTGAGGACAGGCAGTTGGGCAGATAATCCAAGTAACTTCGTAAGACATCGTTGGAAACCAGGCTAAAATAGAACAAAGCTAAGCTTAATAAAAACAGGTTTTAACCTCTCTTCAGTTAAACCATTTCTTATGTATAATTACACCACATATGGGCACTGAAGATATACGTAAAGTTTATTCAGTGAGTTTTCCTGTAAAAACTCCAGCTTTTTAAAGTTCCTGTTCCAGTTGTACCAGATGAAGTGAAAGTGTCCTTTTCCAAAGTTCAGTTTACCGTGAGTCTTTGCTTTATTGATTTTTATTCTTTCTTTTTTTTTTCCTGTTTATTGCCCCATAGGAGCAGTCTCACAGGTGCTGGACAGCCTGGAAGAAATTCATGCACTTACAGACTGTGTAAAAACTCCAGCTTTTTAAAGTTCCTGTTCCAGTTGTACCAGATGAAGTGAAAGTGTCCTTTTCCAAAGTTCAGTTTACCGTGAGTCTTTGCTTTATTGATTTTTATTCTTTCTTTTTTTTTTCCTGTTTATTGCCCCATAGGAGCAGTCTCACAGGTGCTGGACAGCCTGGAAGAAATTCATGCACTTACAGACTGCAGCGAAAAAGACTTAGATTTTCTTCACAGTGTTTTCCAGGATCAGCATCTTCACACGCTACTAGATGTAAGTTTTCTGTGATAAATAATTTGAATGCATTTCTGTATCTGTTGTTCATTGGATAATATTTTGTTTTATCCCGAATATATTCTCTTTTTTTGTTTCATACCAAAATGAATTTATTTAGGTGTGGAATGTAACAATCAACTAACTACTTTACACAAAAATACATTTTAGGACTATACATACAGAATATTTTACAATATGTAAGTTGTTAATGACTTGGTTTGAATTAATAGCTTTGCTGTAAAATAATTCATCAGAATAGGCTTTTTTCTTTTGATAAGGGCTGGATTTTATTTTTTATTTTAAATGTGAATTGTAACTTTGTACAAACTCATTCCTTTTTTATTATTTTTAAGTAATATAATAATCTTAGATGAGTTCTATGGATATTCTTACAAGTAGGACATTTTTTGTGTGAAACACCTAGATATGCTTGTTTCTGTCCTATTCTTGAACACAGTATGTAACAGGCTTAGTCATTTAAATCTGTATTATTCTGTGGTTCATGAGAGCTATTACTCCATAAGACAGCAGTGGGTGTTCCACAAGAAAGTGTGCAAAAATTACGAAGCTGGAAGATACAGGTTAGTGCCTCCTGGTAGGCATAATCAAAATCTGGTTCCTGTTTCTTCACTGTCTATCCGTAAGCATAGTTCACTGTCTGGCTACACGTGCAGATCAACTGTGATATCAGATGGTTCATAGATTTATTTTTTTTTTCTTCCAGAAAACTAAATATTTTGCAAAAATAATTTTGAAAAGCAAGTAGTCTGCTGTTTGAGAGAAGAATGCTTGCACGCTACTTACCTTTCTGTGCCTTGAGGACTTCCTGTTTTCAGAGTTTTCTTGTTACCTTGTCACATGCAGAAATCCTGTTTATATTTCCCAATAGTTTTTTAACCAAGAAGGCCTAACAAGCAAATATATTGTACTTTCTCCAAAATCGTGTGGATTTGGGAAAACATATGTATAGTTTTGAGGTAGAAGTATTTGCTGAACTTCAACTCTCTGCAAAAACAGGGACCTTCAGCATCACTGCAGGCTTACACTGCCTCACATTGAGTGCCAAGATGCTCAGTGAAGGACAAATTCAAAAGCATATCACGCTGTCATTGATTTCTGTGTCTGCACAGCATTGGGGTCTAAAATAAAGGTCAAAAAGAAGCAGAAAAAACTTTCCCTGATTTTTTTCTGGGATATATGGATACTTCATGTTGAAGACAGAGGACTTGCTTTCAGGCAAGACAAACTTTCTAAAGCAATCTACACATTCCACTGAGAAAAAACTCACGATGGAATCAAATCCACAGAGGTATAGGCTATGTCCACATTAGCAAGTACTACAACGTAACAATAGCAGATCTGTAGAGCAAAGCAGTTGACACTGAGGACCCGGTGTTGACAATGCTGTGTATTTTGAGGGGTTTTACTTTATACTAGCTATACTGCAGTCCTATGGACTGAATAACCACTGGTAGGTGAACAGCATCTTCTATTTTAGTGTCATTTGAGAGTAAATATGCTCTGGTAACACTGTACAATGAAAACCAAAGAATGGTAGGTGGGCATAATCAGAAGATTCATTTCAAAAATGCACTCCTGAATCAAACCAAAATGCTTATGTGACCGTATAGATGATGACCATTTTATTACTATGTCTTAAATTTAACAGCTTGGATACCTCAGTGAGTATCACAAATCTAACAAGATGTCTATGCTTTTTAGCCAGTGAAAGACAGGCAGAAATAGGAGTCATTCCAGCTATCTGATCTGCAGGTAGATGATTATGGTTGTAGAAACTTTAAAGAGTTTCTGAAAAATTGTTGAATGCTTTAGTTCCTATATGCAGCTTTGCAGGGGTATGATCTGAATGTAAATGGTGCCATAGTTCCTTTGGTGTCCAAACTCTTTAAAATGTAGTAGATGATTTGTACACTTCTTACAATTTGCTTAGGATTGGTGAATAGTGGGCTACCTGGATTCTGTGCATCCTTCAACTTCAAAGGATTCAAATCCACACATACTTCCTTCCAGAAGAGAACCCAGCTGCAGGGTTCTGAACTGGCCTGTATGGGAACATAAGTCTTCTGGTAAAGCTTCCCCACAACGTAGCTGCCCGTATGACTCAAGAAACCGAGATAGTTAGCTGTTAAGTGATGGGGGCTTTGCTCTGGCACAAGATTCTACAGTTCTAATCTTTGTTCTTGATAACTGTTTATGCATTTTACAATAAACGGTCCTTGGATAAAATCATATGAAGCATGCAGGAAGAAGGGATTAGAAGCTCATGACTTTCCTGAATTGCATCTCCAACAACTTATCTTGCAATTTGTATTAAAATATGAATCTTTTTTTCCCAGTGTAAGTTCATCTGGCTTGTGTTCCAGATGCTTAAATTACTCTGTCTTTTCATATTGCATGCTGCAGTATAGAAAGGTGATCAGATAATATGAATGAGAAATAAAAATCTGGACAGGAAGAGAATAACACGAGTGTAATAATAAGAACTGCAACACTTGTGTCATTCATGCAGGAAGGTTTTACATATTTATTAACCATTATTATGTTGTCATATAACTCTTGGGCTTCGGTAAACCAGATGGCCTTAGTTTAAGTATTTTGCTGTATGACAGGTCTACCAGATGTTAACTCACGCTTCTGCAATGCTTTTGCTTTTTTCTGTTCTTTACAGTACCAGTCTGGTTCATAGTACTTCACTAATGATCTAATATTTCTGTAATGGTCTGCTGTAGCCTTTTAAACAAGAAGAAACTGCAATGAATTCATACCATTTTGCCATTCTTTTATTTAAAAGTCATGATCATTCTCTTAGACAGAAAGGGATACATTTAAATGCACACTATAATAACATATTTTTGAGAACAAAACGCTATCAAAAAGCATTTTTGTTTTATTATGCTATGTAAAAGGGGGCTGATCAAATCTTCCCAAAGATACTTTGATTAGAATAATACAAAATAAAATTCTAAAAATTGCAATGTCATGAAATACATATTTGAAAGACTGAAGCAAGTTACAGACAGTATTATTTGAAAGGGTAGCTTTTTCATTTCAGTAACTTGAATGTGGGAGATTGATTTCTGTTTATGCGTTGATACTATTACAGTTTCTCTCAGAACTCTGAAAAAATCATCAGTTGTACTTGGATGAAGTTCTGTCAGGGAAACTGTTTATTCCTCTCAGAGTATTTGGGGTTAATGAGGCCACCAGAACAAGTCACCTGTAAAGCATTATATTCCACTAAGTAGGAATTTTATAATCTGTTCTGAAGTTGTGGCTGTCACTTTGCATTAAAACTACTGTTCCTCTTCCTTGGCCTTTTTCCACAGTTAAATTTGTTCTCATGTTCCTACTCTTTCTCAAGAGTTGTCCTTATTTTTAGATTAGGCACATGATGATAGTTCACTCCTGCTGCTGAAATACCTTCTTTTGCTTCTGAACTAACTCTTTTTCTGAAAGCAAAAAAAAAGAAAGGGCGATCTTTGTGTTAAGAGTGCAAGTTACCCATGTGTTGGTTTTTTCAGGTAATACAGGTCGCAAAATAGAAGTCTTCTTTCTCAGTAATTCATTAACTTAGGTGTTATGAGGACAGGCACCTCTGAAAGCCATAGAAAGCAGGGTTCCTATCATCCCATCGATTGTTTTTGATTGATTGATTTATGTATGTCTGTTTAGATAGCTATCTTAAGACACTCTTCTACTTTACTTGGGTGCCAAAGCTGTTCAAAACAAGGGGGAGAAAGGTGCCAACTATTTACAGAATAATTTATATTTACTCTGGGCCAAATCCTGCAATACACCAGCATATCCTGATGTGGGCTTATTGAATAGTTTCATTGTGTGATTTTTTCATAGTTTTACAGAATCCCTCTATTGTGTTGAGTGGGTTTTTTCCTGTGCAAAAATTACACAATTCGTTATTAAAAACTTAATTTTGTTTACTGGGGAGAGTAAGGAAAGGGGCCTTCTAGAAACAACCATTTAGAAATATTCACTACCTAAAAAAAAAAAATTGTTTAATAACTGATCTTTCTAGTAAAGTAAAAGAGTAACTTTGGGTTGGACAGATTTTAATTTTTTCTCGCTTCTGTTAGAAATGTGATGATCGAAATTTTGGGGAATGCTGTAGGACATTCCTGTGTGTGACTTAGAACTGCCTGGGTTTATGTCTATATAAAGCTTTATAGATTGTTTCATTCTGGTATCCAATTTAGATAATAAAGAATGTAATAAAGTTAAGTAAAGGAGATAACTTTATGGAAAAACAGAGCTAAATTTAAGTAGTGAAGTGGCGTTTTATTACTACTGACAGATTTTTAGAAGCCTTATCAAATGTTTTGATTAAGATTTTTTTGTTGACTTTCACGAAAGAGATCCTGGGAGGCGTTGCTGTCTTGTGTCAGCAGTACTGATAAAGAAGTTGGAAATAAATGTGAAGAGGTTACTAATTTTGGAGACATTGGCGTTTGGCTATCTTCTGTATCACGACAAAAGATTTTTTTTCAATGATTATTTGTTTTGAAAAGTATACTGGGCTTCAAGGCTGTGCCTAATGGAGAAGATCTTTACTCATTGTGTTTCTTCTCTGTCAGTGCATCAAAGGAAGCAAGGTTTGCTAAAAAGTAAAACCAGAAGCTGCTGTTTTATGCAGCTGTCTACATTGAAAGAGACGAGAGAAATCTTTCTTCTGTTGAGTGAAGTAGTTTGGTCACATCTCCAGGGACGCTTTCTGTGGGTGATTCTGAATGCAGATGTCGTTGAATTTACAAGTGGGATTTTCGCTCAGAAGAACAATATCAGCTTTTGTGTGACTGGGGTCTCTCTGCTACTGGCTTTGCCTGCGTCTGTCTGTCCTGAATCAGATAGTTCTCTAGGCTGATATCTTTTGGCTGTTAATTTAAGAAGTTTGTTATTTCTGCAAGTATATCTGCAATAGAAGAGTTACGAACTTTGAAGAAAGTTTATTTTACCTTTTGCTG